TGAGATTTGGTCTTAACTAGCTTTCTTATTTATTATTATATCAAGGATTGCGCACGGGGGTCATCCAGTAGTACAAGTGGAGGAGGAAGAAGAACGACATGGGAAGGAGAGGGAAGTGGTTTATTGCTGTCAGCAGAGCATTCAACCCTGAGAGCAATGAGAAGAAAAGCCAGGTTAGAATTCTTATTCAGGCTTCCTCTGGCTTCTGAGATGTCCCTGTCAAATTCTTTTATCATCAAGTTGTTTACTTTCTTCTTCATTTAACCAGAAGAACCACAAATCTAAGAGGAAATGGAAATTGAGGAGACCCAAACATTATCTTCCGGTCCCTTCTGAAGTGGCAGAGAAATCAATTACTGATGCCACCAAACCGCCGGATTGCTATCTTTCACAGGGCATTAAATTGGTGAAAGTGGAGGATGAACACAGCAAGAATGCCTACAATGTGGCTCTCACCAGTGCTGCTGCAGCAGAAACTGCAGATGTTGCTGCTCAGGCTGCGGCAGCGGTTGTTGGACTCACCATCACAAGACTTATGGGCAAGTCGAGAGAAGAGGCTGCAGCAATCAAGATCCAGACTGCTTTTCGTGGGTACCTGGTATAACATCGTTATGCTTGATTCGATCTTATTGTATAAGTTTGGTTCTTCCATGCTTGATTCGTTTGTAGATTTCACAGTTCACTAGATATGGAAGTCTTTTATGAAGCAAAAGTTGGCTACATAGATTTTCATTCGGAAACATAAGGCAGTCTAATAAAGAATGCAATTTAGGGTTACTTAACTTCCATCTCTTCTTATTGGATAACAAAGAAAGAAGGCCTTGCATGGTCCTACATGCTGTAATTTTCTTGATAGATTAACTTATCTCTTTCGATCTATTTTTGTTATTTAATCGATGGCTATAGATACTATAAGGTTTTGCTAAGATGATGTGTGAATTTAATGGTCTTCTGTAAAAGGAACTTTGTAGAGCTTTACAATAATTTTGATATATTGATATTAGGCACTTTTGGGAAACAGATGAATCTAATTTACTGTGTATGAAATTAGATTCATCTAACATGTGTATGAAAACAACACTAAACTGCCCCCATCTTTTTATGTTTTCTTACAAGCTCTTTAATAATTGGTTCCTTAAATCATGTGTTTTTGGTAGGATGTAGAGCCAACAATGTCTTCCAACCATCAACTATGTATGCATGGCCTGATCTGCGATTTTCTTTATGCGTTCATGAATGTGTTTAACAATGAGCTGGCTTTTCAAAGATTTTAGTGTTATTTATGGTTCAACATACGGTCTAGAATCAGACTTGTAATGGTGACCATCTTGTGTCAAATGTAATCTTCTAAGCTTTGCTTCTTCAGTCGTCCCTGCTATGTTAAGCTACTTTTTATTTTTTTTTTCTCAGTTTATTCTTCAATTTGAATTGTTACTTTTATGCCTAAACCTTTCATCAAGGCAAGGATAGCACTGCAAGGTTTGAGGAGACTTGTCAGGTTGAAGACATTAGTTGACGGTAATGCTGCCAAGCATCAGACGTCAAACACATTACACTGCATGCAAACACTGGCCAGAGTTCAGTCACAGATACGCTCAAGGAGGATCAGAATGAGAGAAGAAAACCAAGCTCTGCAAAGGCAGCTACAGCTGAAACATGAAATGGAACTTGAGAAACAAAAAGTAAATGCCTAAATTCATTTTCCACTAATTATACAAAATCTATTCATGCTTCGGTTTTTTATAGCTATCTGCCTACCCATCACCAAGATAACTGATATGCATGAAGATCACCGATAGTTATGGTGGCGTATGTTTGTCTAGATCTATATTGTAGTTTGCAAGTAGTCAAAAGGACATTTAAATGGAATCTGGATGGATGCAAACACTATCTGCACAAAGATTACTGTTGATTATGGTAAAGTATGTTCAGCTGGGTGTAGATTATTGTAAGTAGTCAAAGGGACATTTCAGTGGAGTCTAGATGGATGTAACATACCTTCGTCATTCATTAATTTATTTTACAACAATGAGTAGTTTGTTCCAAACTACTTGGGATTGGTTGCATGAACATCTTCCTGCCATACCATGGCAAGGTTTATCCTTTGCCAATTGGGCAATATCACAGTAGTGTATTATTATAGAGAGTATAACCTACTCGGGTAGGGTTGCATACGCTCCTCAGAACCCATGTGTGTAGAAGTAGAACCTTATATGTTGAGTTGCCTTTTTTTCGCCAATTGAAGGCGATATCGCTGATTAAACCAAGAGGCAAAAATATTCTTTTGATTGTTTTGTAGTATAAATTTCTTTGGTCTTTCTCTAAAGGTGCAGTATGATAAATGTGCAAAGTAAGAAATAAATGTGCAGCATAGGTTAAGAATTAAATGATTATTTAGATTAATAAGCAGAAAAAAGAGTCCAGTATATAATCTGACTGCAACATAATTTACAGTCAGGATCTGATGGCAACATAGTGCACATTCAGTTCATGTAACTTGTAATTTCCACTTCAAAGTGAAGGACTGCCTCTTTAAATGATCTCAAATATTAAGTATTCCTATTGAGCTGTTTAATCAAGCTGTAGCTATATTTGAAACTGTTTCTTCAAGAAAAGGAAATATATTTTTTGCATCAATAATGTGGTGCCTATGTCTTTTAACATTTAAATTCTTTTCACATTGACTTATTTGAGCTCTTTTTTGTTTTTGATGGTACTAGGTAGGAGATGAATGGGATGACAGTCTCTGGTCAAAAGAACAAATCGAAGCAAATCTAGTTAACAAGCAAGAGGCTGCTATAAGAAGAGAAAGGGCACTAGCATATGCATTTTCTCATCAGGTACTGGGCATTGACTCCACATTTTCTTAAATGTCCTTGTTGTTCTCGATCCTTGAGTTCTATGTCTTGGTGGTATCAGTTCCATTTTCAAACTAAAAATCTACTTTTTCGATATATATAACTTTGGTTTTTCATAGTTCCTAATTGCATAAAGTAGTTGATATAAAGATTTAACCCCAGAAGAGTTGCTCTGAAGCAGTGGAAGAACTCTTCAAGAGAAGTAACCCCGACATTCACAAACCCAAACAATCCACAATGGGGTTGGAGCTGGTTGGAGCGCTGGATGGCATCTAGGCCATGGGAGAACTACAATGCAATAAACAAAGATGTCAATGACCACGCAAAGAAAGCAAGCCCAAGAGTTGGGGAGCAAACAATCAAATTATATGCACATCAGGATACCAATTTGCAAAGGACTCCAGTGGATCATCAGAAGTCAAGCCATTCCTCCAGCCACCATTCACCCTTAACACCCCCTTCCAAACACTCATCTGCAGGAAAAGAGAAATCAGTGAGCTCAAGAGCTGCCACTGACGACTCGAGAAGCATGGTCAGCTTGCAATCAGGGCGTCGAAGGAGGCAAAGCATTGCAGGGTCATCATTCGGGGATGATGCAAGCCTAGCAAGCTCTCCCAGCATCCCAAGCTACATGGCATCGACAGAATCAGCAAGGGCCAAATCTCGGTTCCAGAGGCCACCAAATAACAATGTGGAAACTCCCGAGAGGGGATCTGTTAATGCGGTAAAGAAGCATCTTTCGTATCCAGTGGCAGATAAGTGCAGCATATTGTCTCCAGCAAGAATTAGGCGCAATTCAGATCCTCCGAAACTGGATGTTGCCTCACTGAAAGATGTAGCTATTTGCGTCGAGCAAACGAGCAATGGTGGGAGCAGGTAGCCTGCTCTAGCAGCAACTGACAGAAGTGCCTGGTGGTGAGTATGGTGCAAACACCGAACTTGTTTATTGTACTATCGATATTGGTATGAAATTGGTCTCGAGTGAGAGCAGTTTGAGGTGGATTGCACAACTATTTCTATGATTTCTTGAGCTTTCTTGTGTATTGTTTCTGAACATATGGAACTAAGAACAGACATTGAGACAACTGTTGATGTTCTGCTGTCATCTGTTGCCTTCCACTTGATGATTTTATGTTGTCATATCTTGAGATCTGACCATGTTTGGTACAAACATAGCGTTTCAGGATGCATATAATAGGAAAACATTTGAGATCATGCAAGGATCTTATTTGTCTTCCTCGAGTATTCATGCTTTAGTTAGATTTTGAAAGATCTTCTAGACGAGCTTTTGGATTAACAAGATCATCATACCACACATGCATATTATTATTCTGATTTTTTTACAATGACCAAAGTATCCACACTAATTCAGCACCTCTTTGGGCAAAGTTTGGTCATCATAAACTCCATTGCATTTGGGTTCCATAAACAAAAATTAGATCATCCAAAATAACGTAAATAAAATAGTTACCATTGCAAGAATTTCCTCAACGAATTAAGAAGTCCGAATGAAAACAATAACCCGTTCGGTTATAGTTAATTGCATATTTATTTCAATTAACTATGTATCAGGTTTTATTGTCAAAATTCTGAGAAGGCAACTTGTCCTCAACATGACAAACAACGACACTATCCCAAATAGTCTATGAGTACAAAAACTATTTACAAAAGAAGTCTAAAATATCATAATTGGTGGGTGGGCTTAACCTCACATCTGATTTATTAAAAAAACGAAAAAACAAGAAATAGGGAAGTGGAGACGTGCGCGAGAGGGAGAGGAGAGAGAAAGATAAGGTTCCGAGGCTTTTAGTAGATGATCGAGCGATTAAATTTATATAAAAAATCTTTATAATAAGTTATATAATTTTAATGGTACCGATCTACAATTTATTCTCTCTGAAATACTTTTCTGCTATATTCACTTGGTGAAATTTAAAAATTTTCTTTCATAAAATCTATTGATGATGATGATATGTTATTATTGAACCAAAAGTATGTATTCTTGATATTATTATGATCCTCTAATTATTCTAGAAAAAAATTATTATAAACCTATTATCATTATTGGTGATAGTCGAAGTTTGAAGTGGATTATGGTCTCATGATTTTTTTCACATTGAGTTTTTCATGTAAAAATTTGATGTCTCATTTTATGATTAATTAATTATTCTAATGTTTATGTTGGTTAATATTTACTTTTCGTACTAACTTAGTATTTTGACGAGGAACTCATTTTGATATTAAAAAAGAAAAAAAATATTTCACTATAATAGTTTTTCCCAATTAAATAGTATCAGAGCGGTTATTTGATGCTAGTTTTTCTTGTGTGATTGAAATGGAAGAATCGTGATTAAATTGAACTTATCAAATTATTCCACTTGGAGGTGTTTGATGAAAGATTTATTTTATTACAAAGATTTATATAAGCTCATCAAAGTTAAAGATAAACATTCTACTATGGAATATAAGAATGAGAGATTCAACATAGAAAAACTATTGTCTATATTAGAAAATGGATGTATATAAATTTACATGAGCATAGTTTTGATAAAACTAGATGTTGCTTGGCAAAAGTTAGAAAATCTCTTTACGAAAAAGACAGTGAGAAATATAATTTCTCTCCTCAGAAGACTTATCAATTTGAAGTATAAAGATGTTGGTAATATTATTAAGCACATAAGCCTATTTCAAAGTCTTGCAAATAAGTTGGTTGCTATAAAAATAAATAGAAATGATGCGATACAAGAATTATTATTTCTCAGATCTTTATTGGAAAGTTGAGAAATATATGTGATGATAATTTATAACTCCACGATAGAGGAGACTCTAACTGTAGACATAGTTAAAGATAATTTGCTAAATGAAGATGTTAGAAGGAAAGAATAGGGAGAATCTTTTTCTGGTGTATTTGTTATTGAAAAACAAGATAGACGTGGAAGAAGTTATAATAGAAATCCACATGGTTATAAAGGAAGATTCAAATCTAGAAGAGATATCAAGTGTTTCTACTATAATAAGCTAGGTCACATGAAGAAAGAGTGTAGGTTTTGGAAGCGAGAACAGAATGGAAGGAAGAAAAATGAGAAAAAACAAATACGATTGTTGCTAAAAGTGATATCGTTATTGTTTGTGATTACGGATGTGTTAGTTTTGTAGCCCAGGATAGTAACTGGGTAATTGACTCTAGTGCTTCATTTCATATTATTTCTTATGGTGATTTTTTTAGATTTTACACTACTAGTGATTTGGCAATGTCAAAATGGGAAACAGTGGTACATCTAAGATTATATGTATTAGAAATATTTGCTTGGAGACCGGTACTGGGAGCAAATTAATACTCAAAGATGTTAGACATGTTCTAGATATTCGTCTAAACTTGATATATACAGGCAAATTTGATGATGAGGGATTTACACACTATTTTGGTGAAAGCAAATGTAAGCTCACTAAAGGTTCTTTAATTGTGACGAGAGGAAAGAAGCTAAACTCTCATTATATCATGGAAGCTAAGCTACACAAAGAAGAGATTAATACAATTTAAAAGGGTGAAAGCATAAATCTTTGGTATAAGAGGCTTGATCATATTAGCGAGAAGGGACTTCAAACTCTTGCTAAAAATCAGTTCTTACCAGAGTTGCAAGGTACATCTCTTAAATTTTGTGATCATTACTTAGCTAGAAAAATACATAGACTTGCCTTTCATATATCTTTATTTAGTTACTTTCACTGATGACCATTCTAGAAAAAATTGGGCTTTTGCTTTGAAATATAAAGATCAGATACTCGATGTTTTCAAGAAGTTTTATATTAGTGTTAAAAGATAAACTAGCAGAAATCTAAAGTGTGATCAAGTAGCTAATGGTAGCAAGTACAAGGGTCTTTTTGAGAATTATTATAGGTTTAATGGTATCAGACTTGAGAAAATAGTTCATAAAACTTCTCAGTAAAACGATGTGACAGAAATAATGAACAAAACCATTGAAGACAAGATTAGGTATATGCTTTCCCATGTCAAATTACCCAAGTTATTTTTGGGGGTGGTTGTGAGAACTATAGTTAATCTGATAAATCTTTCTCTATCAATTCATTTGAAATGTGATGTTTCAAAAAGAGTATGAAAAGAAAAAAAATATATCTTATGATCGCTTAAGAGTCTTTGGGTGCAAAATATTTGTTCATATTCCCAAAGATGAGAGGTCTCAGCTTGATAATTAGGCAAAAGTATATATTTTCTTAGGATATGATCGTGAAGAGTTTAGGTATAGATTATGTGATCTAGTGAATAAGAAGATTATTAAAAGCATAGATGTTGTGTTTCTTGAAGACTAATTATTTGATGATTGTGACAATATTGAGAAGCTAAAAATCTTTATTTATATTTCTTGAAGTTTGGGTCCAGTCTCTCCACTTGTAAATCATGATGATCATGGAGGAGATGAAAAAGAAGATTATGATGAGAATATTAGTGATAATGCTTCTACAATTGATGATACTGAACCAATTGAATAATTTAAGCAAACACCTCCACCATCAGTTGAGATTCCATTGAGAAGATCCACAAAAGAGTGATAACCATCTATAAAATATCCTCCACATGAGTATGTTATGTTTATTAATAAGGGAGAGCCAGAAACTTACCAAAAAATTATTCTACATGAGCACAAGAATGAAGAATGAGTGGGTTAAAATCATGCAAGAATAGATGAGATCCTTACTTAAGAACCACATATATGACTTGTAAAGTTGCCTAAAAGGAAAAAATTCTCAAGAATAAATGGGTTTACAAAAATGAAGACCGAAAATAATAGCCATAACAAATATACAAAGCGTGACTAGTTGTGAAAGGATTTAGTTAAAAGAAATGTATTGACTTTGAAGAAATATTTTCTTTTATAGTGAAAATGTTCTTTATCCAAGTTATTCTGGGTTTGGCTATCAATTTGAATTTAGAAGTTGAGCAACTTGATGTAAAAACTATATCTTTTCATGGTGATTTAGAAGAAAAAATTTACATAGAGCAACCAGAAGTTTTAAAGTCAAAAGAAAAGAAAATCTAGTGTACAAACTTAGGAAAAGCTTATATAGATTCAAACAAGCACCGAGATAGTAGTATAAAAAGTTTGATTCCTTTATCATGAGTCAGGGTACAAAAGATCTGATCATTGTGTATTTACAAGGAAGTTTTCAAATGATGATTTTATTATTCTCCTACTATATATTGACGATATGTTGATTGTTGGCCATGTTGCTAGTAAAATTAAGAAGTTTAAAAAAGAGCTAAGTTTTTTACTATAAAAGACTTAGAATTGTCAAAACAAATACTTGACATAAAGATTCTTCATGATAGGAAGAATGAAAAGATTTGAATATCTTAAAAGACATATATTGAAAAGGTTCTTGAAATATTTAACATGAGTAAAGCCAAAGCAATTTGTTCTCCAATTGTAGATCATTTCAAGCTTAGTTCAAAAAAATACCCTATAAGTAAAAAAAAAAAGAAGAAATGTTTTACTCATTTATAGTAGGTAGTTTGATATATGTTATAGTTTGTACTAGGCTAGATATAACTTATGTAGTTATAATTGTTAGTCGATTTCTCTCTAATATTGGTAAAGAATATTGGGCAGTAGTGAAATGGATATTAAAATATCTAAGAGATACTTTCAAGTAGTGTTTATGTTTTAGCAGTGGTGAACCTGTGCTAGAGAGGTACACAAATGCAGACATAGCATATGATACTAATTCTTAGTAGTCTAATTTACAGAATTATGTTGCTTTATCAACCATAGAAGTAGAATACATAGTAATTACTAAAGTCTGTAAGAAAGCTTTATGAATGAAAAAGTTTTTACAGAAATTAGGCTTGAAACGAGAAGGATATACTATTTACTATGACAATAAGTGTCATTTATCTCTTCGAGAATTCAACATATCATTTTAGATCCAAGCATATTAATGTAAGATATCACTGGATTCGTAATGTGATTAAGATGAAAGAATTGCACTCGGAAAAGATGCATACTAATGAGAATGAATTAAACATGTTGACAAAGTCTTTACCTAAAAAGAAGCTTGAAGCATGTAAGTGAAGAGCAAGTTTAGTATAACCCACCATATAAGTTAGAGGGGGAGAATTATTAGGTCCAGCCCATAGGTGGGCTTAGACGGGTGGAAGAGGTGTATGAATGGTGAAAATTGTGGTAGTATAGGAAAAATAACAGAGAGAGAAGAGGAGAGAGAAAGTTAATGTTTTAAGATTTTTGTTAGATGATCAAGCGGCTAAACTTCATCAGTTTTGACCTAAATTTTTTGTAAAAAATCTTTACAATAAGCTCTACAATTTTAACAGTACCAATCTATAGTTTATCCTCTTTAAAATACTTTTATACTATACCCACTTAGTGATACTTTAAATTTTCCTTTCATGAAATGTTATTATTGAGTCAAGATATATGTTGTTGATGTTATTATGATCCTCTAGTTATTCTGGAAGTTTATTATAAATTGGTTATCATTATTAGTGATAGTGGAAGTTTGAAGTGGATTACAGTCTCATAATTTTTTTCACATTAGATTTTTCACGTAAAAATTCGATTTCTCACTTTGTTGTTATTGATTCATTTTTCTATTGTTTATACTACTCTGGTTAATATTTACTTTTGGTAATAAGTTAGTATTTTGAGGATAAATTCATTTTGACAAACAAAGAGGAATAAAAGTTATTTCGCTATAATATTTTTTTCAACAATAATTAACCTTACCTTTAAGCTAAAAAACAGGAATATACACTTTATGGTGCCATAATAAACTTATATTGATTAGATAATTAGAGAATCATAGTCTATTAGAATATTTACAAAATCAAAAGAACTTTCCTATGAATCATTATAGTTAGTCTTTGCTATTTATATTTTAAATGACGGTGACATCATTTAGAAACTCATAATGTTTATAGAAAAATTAAGATACGTATTTTTACATATCTTTTTAGTTCGAACCAACTGATATAAACTATAGTGAACTTGAGTTTTCTATATGAATATTAGCAATATATATATATATATATTGTAAATATTATATGAATCATATATATACTCTCCATCAATCTCTCACGTGATGGATTACTGGGATTACAGAATAAAAAAAAAGAAGAAAAATACAAAGTAATATATTTACTAATACGAGGGATTAATAAAAAATTATTTACAAACTTGTGATTTATTTAAGAGAGTTCATTCACACAGATTTTACATCGTCAACTATCATATCATACATTACACGCATACATGTACACACACAAAATAGGGGTTCTCCTGAGAACTGTCGATAGAGATGAAGGGTTATGACAACACACTTTCTTCTAATCCTATCCAATAGAAAATATAATACCCATTTGATTCATAGAAGTGAGATTAATTACTTTGAGATCGTATAATTATGTGTATTCGTAAGACTTACAAGTTCTCGACATATTTGTGGTGGATGACAGAAGCCACCTCTCTGGCCCAGAAACGGAGTTGCCTCTTCATGTCAGCTCCATACGGAGATCTCGGCTGCAGCGATGGGCTGACGACTGAGAGATCATGTCTCATCCAGGCCTCAGAAAGATATGGCCTCTCCACGCCTTCGTCCTCTTCCTTTTCCTCTCTGCTTGCCTCGTCATCTCTCCCTTCCTTTCCCAGCCGCTGCAGCCCTGGGATTATGTTCATGATCTCCATGCTCAACTCCTCCTTCCGGAACACAAAACCCAGGTCCATGAAACCCTTCACTTCGTAGTTCTCCAGCTCCGTCACGCTCCTGGAGCTTCGCGACCTGCTCATCGCTCTTCTTCTTCTGCTTCTTCTTCTGTCGCTCCTGCTCTCACGCTTGAGATCTGAACTCGTCGTCGGGAACGAAGGACATGACCGGAGTACTCCCGTAGGCGGTTCTCGCAAACCGAGAACCAATGTTGTTGGTCTCTTGTTCTTGTATTTAGGCTGCCAAACATCGATGTCAGCACCTAAGTCGGTATGTATTCCTGAGTTCATGGTGATTACCTTGTGCGAGTTGCACCGTGGAACCGGTTCCGAGTTTTGCGTCTCTGACGAGGTTGTCATCTTCTTCATCGCGGGGAGGTCTAATCCAGTAGGCGCCAAGAAAAGAATGTTCCTATGGAACCAGATTCTGTCCATGGCATCTTGGAAGCCTAATGAAGCGTTTGCAGCCATCAACACCTGCTGCTTAGCTTTCATGCTACTGCAGCACACGAGTAACAAAACAGGAGGAAGATGCTCGATCGATAAACGATAGGTGAGTGCAAGAGTGAGGCTCCGATAAAAAGGCCTGCGATGATGTGGTCATGCATCGTGCTTTCAAGGGTCCCCGGTCGGAGACTCGAGCGAACACATGCCTTGTGCATTTTGATATGATTCTAAATGCAAAATTCCTTGGCCAGGAGTAATCTCTCTTTTCCTGCGCTGGATAGAAGTCGTGGCGTGGATTAACGTGAAGTTGCTTTTGCCTTATCCACATCCATTTGTTTGTCACAGAAGCAGAATCGAAGGAATGGACTGCGTTCATTCATTGGTGGACATGGTAGTGCAAGGCCAAGAGTGCTCCTCAGGTCATGAACACATCCAAGGTAGGGGACAAATTTCATGTAAAGGGGCCCTGCACGAAAGAGCACTAGTGGATTCCCGGTGACCACCACTGTGAGTGCTTCTTTTTTGGTGTCCTCAGAAAGTATTAGACCTCCATTGATTGATAGCAGCTGAGATAGGGAATGCTACAAAACACCTTCTTTTGCCATAATCCTTGTGAGACTGTTTGTTGGCACCGCATGTAGAACAGCAGATACCTGTAAACACAGAAAAATAGTGGCTTGGAAACATAACAAGGGGAAGGAATTCAACATCAGTTGTGAACCACAAATAAAAATAAAAATAATAATCTTGAAGGATTAAGATTTGAAATTGCATATTTTTGTTATGAATTTTGATGTAGCATTGATTATTATGTGTTTCATTGGAAATCCAGAAAATTCAGATTAAATTACTTTTAATCAAGGTTCATATTAATTAATAATAATTATCTTCCATTGATGTCCTTCACTCATATTAAAAATATGTTGGTCTGCTACAAGAAAAATTGTGCAGCCATGACACATTCTGCAGAGCCATGGAAGCTTTTTTGTTAATAGGTTTTCGGAAACCTTGATGATATCAATCTATTAACAAAAATATTTCCATGATCAAGAGGATCTCGCATAGCCATTGATGAATCCAGGAAACGAAGAACATCAAGTTTTCAGCTTCATGAGAAGACTCTAACTTGTTTATCCTTTCAATAAAAGATAATAATTATATCATCGATAAACATAAGATGAGATATTACGCGACCGTCGTCGTCGATGTGAAAGACATAAATTTTCTTCGACTAACTAATTCATTAAGAATAACCTAAAAAAATTTGTTAATCAAAATAAATAAATAGAAAGAGATTATTAACATTTCAGATATTGTTTTTGCTATTAGACTAATTTGAATTACTGGAATTTATATGAGATAATAAATCCAATGCTATATATTTGGGTTGAGAAATCCTTATTGGTGAGAGCACTAAATCAATCATTCATAAAATACGGACGAACCCTCTGAAGTACATTTGCAATGAGTAATTCTACCCAAAATGAAAGCATATTGTTCCCAATTGACAATGGTATGATCATTGACCTTGACACGTTTACTAGCACCTTAGCCAAATAGTTTATAAATAATATTGTACAAATTAATATGTTTTTTATAATTCAATTTTTTTGTTCGAATTGAATTTATTAGAAATATAAAAGGAAATGTTCTATCCTAACTGAAAGAAATGAGAGTATTAGTATGAAAATTAGAGAAAGCACAACTTAGATAGATCATTGTC